CTCTTTTAGCTGAGACACCCTGTATATAAAAATGAGTAGAATATCAAAAGCTCAGTGGAACTTTAAATGGATTTCTATTTATTTTTCTATAAAAATTCGCTTATTAGAACGTTTCTAGTTTACGTTCGTACCTATGGTGGAATACGGTGCGTGCACGGGACTGGCTCCTCGGAGCCAGAGCTTGCATTCCGATGCAAATGCCCTCTCTCCTCTCCTCTCTCTTTCTCTCTCTCGTCTTGTCGTTTCCTTCTCTTATCTCTCATTCTCCTCTTCCCACCGCATGCTCCAATCGCCGTTCTGTTCTCTGTCGAGCAATGGATAATCCGTGGGCAATTGTGTCTCATCATTGCTGTGTACATACGTGCACAAAAATTCTCTTTGTCACGAGAGAGACAGGCGACCAGTCGCGCGCATCCTCGTTGCAATTATTATTCCTTAATCGTGTCGCATTATCGATTTCCATTTGTCTCTTCTGTTTCTTTCACAATGTTCAATCGTACATTGAAATACAGCAAACACAAGGAATGTTATAGATCAGCGATTAGTCAGAATGAATTTTTATTTTTACTTTTTTTTTTTTCCTCGGAGAAGATATCGCATGGCAGATGTTGTAACGTAAGGAGAGTATAAGAATTTAAACGTCGTCTTGAATTAAGAAACGGAGAATAAATAAAATTCATCGCCGTCAAGGTTAATCCGCGTCTTCTTCGCGAATTCCTCTCTATTAAACTTTCGAAATTCCTCGAACGGGTGTTGCGTCATCGAATGCTCCTTGGGCCCCATTGCCATTGGGACTCGCACGTGAAAACAGTCATTAGGCAACTGTCGTAATCAGTAATGTAATCGCTTTTACAAATTATATCATCGACGAAATTTTCATCTGAACGACGCATTCTCGTTCTTTCTTTATACGATAGTTCATATCTGTACATATTAATTTGTTGTTCAGTTTTTTTTATTGTATAGCTCCTTCTCCTTCTCTCTCTCTATCTCTCTCTCTGTTCCTCTCGGAGGTTCTCTACGATTCCCTCTCGCAACTCTCTTCTACGAGAAGTCAGCGAGACGCGAGTGGAATTTTAATTGCCATTTATTTTTGCTCGCTCGGTTCCCTCGTCCTCCTCCTCCTCCTCCTCCTTCTCCTCCTCCTCTCCGGTGCCCGGTTGGACAGATACGAAACCGATTATGACACCGTAGGAAGTCGCGTTGGCCACATCTCGATGCTGTAAATTGTAATACAACGTGTCGAATTTTTTTAATTTCGCCAATCGAACACTTATATATGTACTAGAATTAATTGTGTGTATACGAGTTGAACGAGGAATGTGACTTTGGTCTTCGACATTTAGATATTTGCCTAGATAACCGAGGTACTTGTTAGGCTTCGAACAAAACGTTCTTTGATCAGGGATCTCAGAGGAGATTCTAGATTAATGACCATAAAAGGCTACTTTGACTGATAAGATAGGGAAAACGAATGATTTCAGAAGTAAGGAATGGTCGTTTTCTACGTTTTTCGAGGTTAGAATTTATACGCGTCCGATCCTCGCCTCGAGAAGTTCAAAGGATTTACTGTTTCGACATTCTTTACCTTCCACGCTTTATTAGTCATCGTATATTATTTATACCTAAGGAGAAACAGATTTCATATAAATTATTCGATCGTTGTAAAACGTTTTACAAGAAACTTGTATTCTTCCTACATTTTCTTATTTGAATCAGCGGGGGTGTATGCATATCGGTCTTCCGTATTGGAAACAGCGTTTATGGCGTACGCAAACGAACGCATCTTACTCGGGACATCCTTCTGCGTGCACATATGCACGTCATAACGGTTTCAGAGAGGCTTAAGCCGTCCCAGTCATTGCCATCGTCATCAGTGATGCGGTAGAACCGAATTTTCAATACGGTAAAGTTGAACTATTTCGATCTGGCAAGCCCTAAAGGTCAAGCTTGCATTTTACGAGGAATTAAAACTAGAAAGACTGAAACTTAGTATATACCTATATTGCCCAAAAGCAATCAAAATGACTGCATTGTGAAAGAATAATGTGTAAAGAAATTTGTCTAAAATTAATTTTTAATATTTTTTATATTATTTACAGTCATATAACAAGTTATTAGTAAATGTTA